ACTGGCCTTCTGGGTTTCTCCTGCTTCGGTCTTGCTTGCTGGTGCAGAACAGAGCTTTCTTCACTGACCTGGGGAAGTGGGGGCAGTGGGCATGGGGAAGAGGACGCTGCGAACAGCAGGGGGCTGGCTTTGGAAATCGGTTTTCCCAAGAGGTTTGTTGGGGTCTGTCTTTAGGCACCTCTCGCGGACTCCTTTGCTCAGGCTCGTTTGTCTTCCGAGCAACTGGGGTCTCGTTGCGGACAATCCGACCCTTTGGACCTCGTGGCCTTTGGCTTTGCTTCTCCTCCTGCTGCTGTTTCTGTTTGCCCTGATTTGTTCAGCTCTCTTGGCCGTTGATGAACCAGCCATGCGGGGGATCTCGAGGAATTCCCAGATGTGCTCAGGCAGGGGTTCCCCACCTTGGGTCACCCCTGGTGTTCTTGGACTGCAACTCCCAGAAGCCGGATTCAGCCCCAGTTGTACTGGCCGGGGTTTCTGGGAGTCACGGTCCAAGGTGACCCACAGGTTGGGAAGCCCTGCCCTGAGGGGCTTCCCAGGTCATGTAGGAGCCACTGAAGCTTCCCCCTCCCCTTTCCATGACATCCGCAGAGACCGTAGGATGCCACGCGTCCGTTTGTGTTTCTTGCTGGGGAAGCAATCGGGAGCTTCTAACGGGTGGCTTGTGGTTCTAGCCGATGGTCTGGGAAGGGCTGGTCCTTCCTCAGCAGACCTTCTGCCCTCCTTTTCTCTTCCAGCATCCATTCCAAAGAGATTTTCCACTCTTTGACCATTTCATTCTCCCGTTGCTGGGAGTTCTTGCTCTGGATGGACCCAGCCAACTACGGGGGGATCAGAGGCAAAGTGCCCTCCCGGATCCACTGCGGCGAGGTAAGAGGCCAACGGAGAAAGGATCCCTCAGATTCCCCCACGTGCTTGACCACGTGAGCCAGGAGCAGAGTCCCCGAGCTTCAGACGGAAAAGGGGGCGAGGCTGTGGCAAAGCTCTTGACCTCGGGCCCATTTCTTCCAGGAGGTAAATGGCAAACAGGGAGCAGAGGCAGAAGACAGCGAGGAAGAGGAGAAGGAGGAGGAAGACGAAGGCAAGGAAGAAGGGGAAGCAGAAGATGGGGTGGAGGAGCAACTGGAGAACTGCTGGAACATCATGCAATACCTGCCCCAGGCGGCCTCCTGTCAGAACTACTTCCTCATGATTGTGTCAGGTAAGCGAGGGAGGCCCTTTTGGGTCGAGGTCCCACTGAGGATGCTGTCCTGTCTCTGAAGGACACGGGGGGGGGGGGCTTCTCCCACCGTGGCCAGCTCCCCTTCCTCATCTCTGCCGCTCACAGAGTTCTTGTGGTTCTCTCCGTTCCCCTCTTTGCCATTTGGCTAGTCCTGCCCAGGAGGTCCTGGCCAGCACATCCTCAGTCATCGGGGACATTCCCTGCTTCCATTCCCAGTGGAGGCTGGTAGCTGTTGGGGGGGGGGAGAGAGGCAGGGAGAGCCCCCTGCAAGGCGGGTTGGGCGCATAGGCATCCTCACCGTTCATGGGTCTCTTTCCCAGCCTACGTCGTTGCCGTCTACCACAGGATGAAGGAGGAGCTGCGGCGCAACGGTGTCGGAAGCACCCCCATCAAGCGGCGGACCAACAGCCAGGCGTCCCAGGAGGCTGTCGAGAAAACGGGGGCCATGGCCGGTGAGAGCCCCAAAGGCCGACACCCCCCCAATCACGCCCCTTGTTCCCCTGCCCCCCTTGATCCAGACAAGAGCTGCCCCTTCAGGTCCCCATGGCTGAAGCGGGAGGAGTTTCCCGCAGCCTGCTTTTCCGTCTCCATTCCAGCCCCTCGGCCTCAAGAGGAGCCCCGCGAAGGCTTTCGTCTTGCTTGGCCTTCAGTGATGAAAAAAACACGGTGGGAACGTGAACGTTGAAAAAAAGGAAAGATCCCACTGATAAATCCCGCCAGCCAAGTTTCAGTTCCCCTTCTGGAAAGCTGAAATCATCATAAAAGGAGGGTGGGGGAACTCACCATGTCATGTCTTTTTCTGCCCTGTAAGGGCCACGAGACTAAGAAATTGTGCTATTCCACCCATAGAGGGTTGGGTTGTTTCCTCGACGGGGTCAAGTGTCTCCGTGTGTGTGTCTCTTGACGTCCACGTCTGCCTGCTTCCTCCCTCTGCCCAGGTGTGATCACCTTCTCCCAAGACTACGTCTCCAACGAGCTGACCCAGAGCTTCTTCACCATCACCCAGAAGATCCAGAAGAAAGTGAGCGGCTCGCGACGGACCACGGAGCCGTCGGAGATGTTCCCGGTCTTGCCTGGGTCATACCTGGTGCTGAACAACCCCGCCCTGGAGTTTGTGAAGTACGTCTGCAAGGTGAGCCCTCCCTCCCCAGGTGTGCCCTCCGGCAGAGGGGTGGGGTGGGGGAGAGAGTTATGGCTGCTCAGGGGCAGAGAAACGGGCACCCCGCTCTGTGGGGAGGGGGGGTTACACACAGGTGACAAGCCTCGCCCTCTTCCTGACCCACCCACCTGCTCCCAGGTGTTGTCTCTGGACCCCAACATCACCAACCAGGTGAGCAAGCTGAAACGGGACCTCCTCCGGCTGATCGACGTGGGGGAGTTCTCGGACGAGGCCCAGTTTCGGGATCCCTGTCGCTCCTACGTCCTCCCGGAGATGATCTGCAAGAACTGCAACTTTTGCCGAGACCTGGATCTCTGCAAGGACCCGGTCTTCTCCCAGGTACGTGGCACCCTGAACGCCGCCACCTCAGGGCTAGCATGAGCAGTCTCCTGCCTGGGTCCAGGGGCCCCCTCCTGGCAGAGCTGCTTTTCGGTCACCCGTCCCCAGGAAGGAGGTGCAGAAGGTTCCTCGGGTTACCCCGAGGGGGTCCTGTAACCATTCGGTCGCTTCTTTTACCTGGGTTGGGGGGTGCCCAAGAGGGTCAGCACGCGAGCGATCAGGAAATGCCCACTGTTGCCCGCACTTCCCCTGCGTGCTCTGAGTTTGACTCCTGAGTGCTTCAGGGAAAAAACACAGAGAAGCAAGCGGTTGCTTCTGGTTGCCAATCAACCCTCCGTAACACTCCAGAGAACCCAGTAATGCTTTCTGAGCCTCTCGGTACCCCTCCCTCAACCCCTTTCGGATGTCCGAATGAAACACGGCTTGTTTAAAACTTTGTAAGTTTATTAAAAGGCAAAAAAGGAGCGAAGTGTAACAGCTTGGCAAAAGATCAAATGTTTCAGCGAGAATATACCAGCAGCACCGTTGTGTAGAACAAGCATTGTGACAGAGCTCAAGGCATCGTAGGGCGTTTCTTACAGAAAAAATAAAAATAAAAGGCTAATCTGAGGCTGCCCATACTTCCAAGCACGTACAGAGTTCTCCATGAGGGGTAATATGTAGCATAGTGCAAATAGCCTCTGCCATCCTTTCAAAGATGATGGTTTAGTCTAACTGGTTACCTTCCACCTTCTACCCCATCATCCCTGATCTTGAGAACTCGACCAGTCGCTCTAGGTCTTTTAACGAGCTGTACCATCCGGGTTCTTTTAATGAGCTGTTCTGGGTGCTTCCGTTGGGGTGCAAGGAATTTTCAGCCAGATTCCTTCCTCCTGCAACTTCCACCAAGGTCACAGTATCTTTTTCCTTATCTCGAGACAGCTCTCCGACTCTTAGCCTGTTCTCAAAACATTTGGGGCTTGGTCAGTTCTGCTTAAGACATTTTTCAGGTTTTAGAGACTCGAGGTCAACTCCATCGCTGCTCGGTCCTCCACGGGAGGACATGGCCCCTACCCTCTTTCCCTAAAGGCAGGGCCAGATCCTTTAAATCCTTAAAGATGGGCTTGGGACGGCCGCCCGGAGAAGCCTTCGCCCTGATTGATGATGGCCAGGATTTCTGGGAGTTGCCCTCCAAGGAAATCCTGGGTCGACCCAAGACTGGGAACCACTCCCTGACCCTCAAGAAGACATTTATGGTCGTTGAGGAAGAAGCACTTTTCCCACCCAGATAAGACAACAGATCCCCCCCTGCCATCTGGTGATCCCTTTCTCTGTCTCTTCTTCTTCTGTTGACTGCCCAGAGCCTTCCTCACCAGGCTGTCCCTGCTTAAAATGTTTCTCCCCTTCAAATTGGACAAAAGATTTCTCCCCTTCAAATTTGACTCTTCTTTCCTTTTTGGTCTATAAGTGGAACTGCCCTCATAAGCCCCTTCTTCAGACTATGGTCTGCCCTCCCCCTGCCCTCGAGGCCCGCCTGCTCTGACTGGCAGCTGCTCCCCAGGGTCTTCTGCCTCTCACTTTGCTTCCTGAGCTCACATGCCCGGAGGCGCTTGCGGCGTGCAAAGCCTCCTGCTCTGCCTTTGCTTCTCTCGGAGCGCCCTCGGCCACATCGCCTCCTCCTCTTCTTCCTCCTCCAGGACGGCTCGGTGCTGCCCAACTGGGTCTGCTCCAGCTGCCAGGCCCAGTACGACTCGGAGGCCATCGAGATGGCTCTGGTGGAAGCCTTGCAGAAGAAGCTGATGGCCTTCACCCTTCAGGATCTGGTAAGGAGGGATGGCGCCCGTTGCCACTCCTGGCGTCTCCTCCAGGCGTCACCCGGGGAGGAGGGAACTCATGTGGAGGATGCCTGTCTGGGAGAGAGGGGTGGGGAGAGAGGAGCTTTCAGTCCTGCCATCCACACCCGCAGCAGGAAAGGGGCCTCATGAGTGATCAAAGAAAGACAGGCGTGTCTGCCTGCGCATCCCCATCACCGGGGACCCTCTGGATCGTTGATCCTGTCCAGGAGGACCCATGGGGGAGAATCGAATTTCCAAACCTTGGGCTCCGCAGCCAGAGACCTTAAACCACTGAGCGGATCAAGTGTGTGACGAAATCCTGGGTCGACCCAAGACTGGGAACCACTCCCTGACCCTCAAGAAGACATTTATGGTCGTTGAGGAAGAAGCACTTTTCCCACCCAGATAAGACAACAGATCCCCCCCTGCCATCTGGTGATCCCTTTCTCTGTCTCTTCTTCTTCTGTTGACTGCCCAGAGCCTTCCTCACCAGGCTGTCCCTGCTTAAAATGTTTCTCCCCTTCAAATTGGACTCTTCTTTCCTTTTTGGTCTATAAGTGGAACTGCCCTCATAAGCCCCTTCTTCAGACTATGGTCTGCCCTCCCCCTGCCCTCGAGGACCGCCTGCTCTGACTGGCAGCTGCTCCCCAGGGTCTTCTGCCTCTCACTTTGCTTCCTGAGCTCACATGCCCGGAGGCGCTTGCGGCGTGCAAAGCCTCCTGCTCTGCCTTTGCTTCTCTCGGAGCGCCCTCGGCCACATCGCCTCCTCCTCTTCTTCCTCCTCCAGGACGGCTCGGTGCTGCCCAACTGGGTCTGCTCCAGCTGCCAGGCCCAGTACGACTCGGAGGCCATCGAGATGGCTCTGGTGGAGGCCCTGCAGAAGAAGCTGATGGCCTTCACCCTTCAGGATCTGGTAAGGAGGGATGGCACCCGTTGCCACTCCTGGCGTCTCCTCCAGGCGTCACCCGGGGAGGAGGGAACTCATGTGGAGGATGCCTGTCTGGGAGAGAGGGGTGGGGAGAGAGGAGCTTTCAGTCCTGCCATCCACACCCGCAGCAGGAAAGGGGCCTCATGAGTGATCAAAGAAAGACAGGCGTGTCTGCCTGCGCATCCCCATCACCGGGGACCCTCTGGATCGTTGATCCTGTCCAGGAGGACCCATGGGGGAGAATCGAATTTCCAAACCTTGGGCTCCGCAGCCAGAGACCTTAAACCACTGGACACTCTGGGTTGACACAAGACTGGGAACCGCTCCCTGACCCTCAAGAAGACCTTTATGGCCTTTGGGGAAGCATAGGCCCTTCTCCCACCCAGATGAGGCAACAGTTCCCCCCTGCCATCTGGTGATCCCTTTCTGTCTCCTCTTCTGTTGACTGTCCAGAGCCTTCCGTCTGTGGGAACTGCCACATCCATCACCAGGCTTTCCCCTGCTTAAAATGTTTCTCCCCTTCAAAATGGACTTTCCTTTTTGGTCTTTTAAGTGGAACTGCCCTCATAGGCCCCTTCTTCAGACTATGGTCCGTCCCCCCCCCCAGCCCTCGAGGACTGACAGCTGCTCCCTCTTCTGCCTCTCACTTTGCTTCCTGAGCTCACATGCCCGGAGGCGCTTGCGGCGTGCAAAGCCTCCTGCTCTGCCTTTGCTTCTCTCGGAGCGTCCTCAGCCACATCGCCGCCTACTCTTCTTCCTTCTCCTCCTCCAGGACGGCTCGGTGCTTCCCAACTGGGTCTGCTCCAGCTGCCAGGCCCAGTACGACTCGGAGGCCATCGAGATGGCTCTGGTGGAAGCCTTGCAGAAGAAGCTGATGGCCTTCACCCTTCAGGATCTGGTAAGGAGGGATGGCACCCGTTGCCACTCCTGGCATCTCCTCCAGATGTTACCCAGGAAGGGTGGACCTCATGTGGAGGATGCCTGTCTGGGAAAGAGGGGTGGGGAGAGAGGAGCTTTCAGTCCTGCCGTCCACACCTACAGCAGGAAAGGGGCCTCGTGAGTGCCCAAAAACAGACACGCATGTCTGGCTGCGCATCCTCATTGCCGTCTTAGAACGGCAGAGCTGGAAGGGACCCTGTGGATTGTGGATTCCAGACCCTGTCCAGGAGGCCCAGTGGGGGGCAATTGGACTCCCAAACCTTGGGCTCTGCAGCCAGAGACCTTAAACCACTGAGCGGATCAAGTGTGTGACCGAGGTTGTGGGTCCTGGTGGAGTCAGAGGAAGGAGGTGAAAAACACAGGTTCAGTGATTCCTTCTCTCCCCCCCCATCTCCCATCATCTCCCATTTCTTCTGCTTTAGTTGCTCAGTTCCCTTTTGGGCCTTGGTGCCACCCACGGCACCCCCCTCCCTATTTGCCCTTGTTCCTCCTGCCTCCTGTGATCCCTCTGACGCAGGGTGACTCTAGAAGTCCTCGTAACCGCACGTTATTGACCTCTGACCCTGTGTGTGAACGGCCCTAGCCCCTTTCAACACCTTGGTTCTGTGCCGGGAGAGGGGGAGGAGAGAGTCTGGGCTTGTCGGAGGCCTCGGACCCGGCAGGGCCCAGTGAGATGCCAAGCCCCCCTGCTTGTATTCCAGGTGTGCAAGAAGTGCAAAGGCGTCAAGGACACCCACATGCCCCTCTACTGCAGCTGCGCCGGGGACTTTGACCTCCTGCTCCCCACCAAGGTGAGTGATGACCCCGCCTGCTCTTTCCTCTTGACGCAAGGAAGGAAGGTTCCTCCCATCTTTTACTCCAGGCCGATCCTCCTCTTCCTCCATTTCTCTGTTTGAGAAAGACTCCTCTTGAACTGGTTTTGTATGTGTGTGTGTCTCTCTCTCTTTCCCTTCCAACCCAGACCTTCCTGGAGCACTTGAAGGTCTTCCAGAGCATCGCCCAGCACTACAACATGGCCTACCTACTGGAGAACATCACCTGGCTGCTTCAGATGAACCCTCGCCTGGTCCTGTGAGAGGATCCCCTGCACGATCCGGCGGGGCTCCTGCTGCAGCCGAGAGGCCAGGCCGCACGGCACCCTTGGCCGCACGGCCTCCTCTCCCTGCCCCCCCCCCTCCGTCTAGGGCCCTGGGGTCCTGAGCTGCTCTCACGGCCTGCTTCAGGTCGGGCTTCGCCCAGAGACGAACGTGGTTCCAGACCCATGTGTCTGTCAGCGGAAAGCGCAGGCCCGGGGCCTTCTACTGAGTGACTTCTGGGAGGTGTAGCGCCTCTAAGAGAGGGCCAGTCTCCGGAAGCCTTCCTGGGAGCAGATGGAGCCGTGGGAACGCAACACCGGTGCTGCTTCCGTGCCCTTTCCTGATGGGCCCTGGGAGCAAGGCCTTGAATCGTGGGGCTGTTTTTCTGCCTAAGTTTTAATCTCTTTTTTTAATCCCAGCTTGTTTTTTACATGTTGTAAATAAACTCCTTTTCCCTCCCGATTAGCAGCTCTCTGTGTCTCAGCCTGACTCGGCCCCTGGGTTTGATACTCACTGGGTTTAAATGCGGCTGCATTGAGTCTCCAGCCAGAGGCCCCCGAGCTGCCGGATGGTCCTTAAACACCACGTGACGTGTCAGGGAGGAGATGGTCTTCCTCTGCCCCTTTTCATGGCAGGCATTTCAGCTGCTCTCTGGCTGAGGGGCAGCTTCGCTGCTCCGTAAACTCCAGCAGGGGGTCCAACGAAGCAAGGAGGTGGGTCTTCAGGAGGCACCTGGCAGTTCATTGGGGTTTTACGAAATCAGGAGGCTTTGACGCCTCTCGTAGCCTCCATCCGCTTCGGAAGAGGATAGCTGCATTTCTGCAGCTTAACTGCAGGGACCGATGAAAACCCCAACGATAACCTAGCCCTAAGCAGCCGCTGGATTGATTGATGATTGATCCAGTAAAGAAATTCAGGCAGAGGGGGAGCGGCAAGGCTAGGGAGAAGGGCTTTCTCTTTGTCCAGCTGGAGAGGCTCACTTCCCCTAGTCGCCCTCTCGGCTTCTGTCCTCTGTCTCTGATCCTCCCGCAAGGCACCCACGTTGTGTGTAGGTTGGGTCTCCCTGCTTTCTCCTGAGGATGATGAAATGTGCACGCACACGCCCCTGGAGACTGTCAGCAGCAAGGCAGGTAGTTCAGAGGATGAGCGAGGAAACAATTTGCGGTTGCTTCTCGTTAAAAAAAATTGCAGCAAAACCTCTGTGTAAAGGATGGAGGGAGCCTCCCCGTGAACCCTTCCTTCTCTCCCCCCTGGGATCTCTGACCCCCCCACTCAGGGCCTGCGAGGGCTTCTCCCTCGACACTGAAGCATTGCGCCAGCATTCCCTGCTCGCATGGCTGGGAGTGAAAGAAAAAGCAAAGGAGTCCCACGAGGGACGTCCCTCTTGCATCCGTCAGCTGGTCATCCTTGCCAGCCGTGGATTCATGGGGATAAATGCTTCCCCAGCTTGCCTGGGTCGGTTGGGGTCTCAGCTGCAGTGTGGGAGCTATAACAACTGGATCCCATTTTTTAAGTGGGGTCCCAAGTGGGTAAAGCCAAAAGAACCTCCTCCTAGCCCCTGAGCAGCTCCAGGCAGCCCCCTGCGACGCCTGCTATACTCCAAAGAGAACCGCTTTCACCACGTCGTGTGGTTTGTAGCAGGAGGTAGACAAGTGCCCAAAAAAACCCTCAACATTTCGTCTGGAGGCCTCCCTGCCTTCTGACCCTTTTAAATCGTCCGGCCGAGGAACCCAAGCTCCCCAGAGTGGACCTTGCAACCTGAACCTAATTGGATTGCGGAGTCTGCCTGATTCAATTACTCTCCCATCTCCTGGTCAATCCGGCTCTCTCTTTCCCCACCACCACCACCACCACTTCGGAAGCAGACAAGACAGAAGCTGTGCGCACACTCCTTTGATTTGCCCTGGGCTGGAATGTGTACTCCATGTGGACTAGCAGCTTGCATTCCATCTGGAGATATTTGGGTTGGGCATTCCTCCTGGCACCGCTCTCTCCTGCAGGTCGCCGCGGCCTCTTGTCCCATTTCGGCAGTAGGTTCAGTTCCGCACATCTTCATGCTTTCTGAGGACGCTCACAAGCAAGGGAGGACTTCTCCAGTTCATGTAGTGGGTTGTTCCAAAGGCACATTTCTCAGCATTACAGAAAGACAACACATACTCCACCACCAGGTTAAGCCTTAAAGCCAAGGCTCCCACCCCCCAATCTTACTGGTTGTCTTTCAGGCGACAGAAACTATCTCGATACGTTCTCCCTCTTCAGGCAGATGATGGAGGGTTTGCCAACTCCCATGACTTCAACCAGGCTTCCATAAAACCTGGCCTTATTCAAGTTTGGTGGACTACAACTCCCATGTAACTTGTTTATGAAAGGAGACCTTTGAGGGAAACACGCATTTATTTTGAGGTCTTTTGTCTGTCTTTAAGGGGCTTTTATCTCAGCCCCTCAGCCCGGCTGCCCTGGGGTCAGGGTGGGGGCTGTGGATTCAAGGGGGCTCCCGCTGGCTCCGTTGCATAGGAGGGGTGTGCTTTGTGCCCTTGGGAGGCCACGTGCATCCCTTCACAATCCTGCTAACTCCTCTTATCCCTGGCACCGTTTTTCTTTTTTTAAATTGCAGCCTAAAAATCTGCAGGGATTTTAACCCCTCTCCATTTTAACCCTGTCTCAGGGAGCATGCCCCTTTCCTGGGGGGCCAGAAGCAGCCTTCCTGCTTTGGAATAAAAGGTGCTGGGTGATAAGCCAGGAAATGGGTGATGGGGTGGAAGTGGTCCCCCAGCACGCACCCCTTACAAGTAGATGGAAAGACATTGACAGATGGCTGGCTGGCTTGCTTTTTCTTCCTTTCTTTCAGTAGGTGGGGGGGGGGGGAAATGCCCCCTCGTCTCTCCTTCTCTCCTGTGCGAAATGAGAGGACATTTCGTCTGTCAAGGGAAACAAGATTCCAGGACCTTGTCATGGTGAAAAACGAGGCCAGTCCCCCTGGCGCATTAACGCCAGGCTAATTTCATTTTGTGGTGTGAGCTTTTACTGGGAAGTGGCTGCTTCATCGGATATTGGGGGGGGGGAGAGAGAGAGAGAGAAAGGGAAAATGAACCCTCCTTGGCAAACGGGCAGGCGGCGGGGGTGGTGGTGTGAAGCTCAGAGGCGGACGGCGGGGCTCGAGTCTTTGGGTGAGGCGGCCCGGGTGCAGGGTGGCGTGAGGCTCAGAGGCGGACGGCGGGGCTGGAGTCTTTGGGTGAGGCGGCCCGGGTGCAGGACGAGGCGGAGATGATGGTGCATTCGGTGGTCGGAGACGCCTCCGAGTCTTTCGATATCTGGACAAACGGGGGAGAAAAGAAGGACAACCGATGAAGGGTCATGGACGGGGGCAGAGGAATAGACCCCAGTCCGCCCCACAAAGAGGCACAGCCCCCTTCTGTAGCACAAACTGGGTGCCCAGGGAAGTTTTAAGCACCCTTTCCTGCCCCCCCACCCTTGCTCTCTCCAAATTTTGGGGTGCTTCGGGCTCCACTCGTAACCGACAGCGGTGGTCTGTCACGATTCCGGGCAAGGAATGGATGGTATTCCTTGCGCTGGTGGATTCTCTTCTGGCAAGCGACCCTGTGAACTCAGGACCTCCGAAAGGACTTCTCACTAACAGTCCTGCTCAGGTCTAGCAAACTCAAAGCTGTGACATCTCTAATATTATTCAGTCCTCCTCTCTCTTTTTTGCTGCTGGCACATTATCCTAGCATTTTGATCTTTTTCCAACGGGCCTTGTCTTAGAATCGTAGAATCCTGGGGTTGGAAGGGGCCTCTAAGGCATTGGGGTCAACCCTGTGCTCAAGGCAGGAACCCAAATCGAAGCAGATCTGACAGAGGGTTCCTAAATCTGGCTTCCTGTCGCTTGAGCCCATTATGACATACCCTGCACTCTGGGATGATGGAGAACAGATCCTGCCCCTTCTCCGTATTTAGTCAAACTTGATTTAAACCAAAACCTATTTATTTGTCTTTCTGGTCGCCCACAGTGTCCATAAAGCCCTCCTTCTTAGACCCTTCGTGGTCCTCCAAAAGATTTCTCCATTGAATGCATGACTGCCCCCCCTCCACCATCATCTGCCTAAGTTTTTCTGGTACATCCTTGAAGGATTCCCGGAATCCTAACAAGGGGACATGGAAACCTCAGCGCAGGTTCCAGCTACATTGCTGGGCAGCTCGGATCCAGGTCAACGCAACCCAAAGTGTGACAGCTTCCCATTGGACGGTGCCCTGTGGCTCGAGGCAGTCTGGCATCTGGAATCTGCTGTCTTGGCCACCAAAGACTTTTGAGCCCTGTCTGGGGCCACGCGGGGCCACGTGCCTGTACCTGGTCAAACTTCCGAGAGCTGTACACGTCGTTCTTGTTCATGAAGGTCAATAAGATCCAGTCGCAGAGGAAGGAGCCCTAGCCAGGGAACAAAAAAAAAGGCTGATTAGGCAAGGAAATGTTCCTTTTGTAGAGTGAAGGCATAAGGAACGGCTAGATAGCTCAGTGGTTCAGGTCTCTGGCTGCAGAACCAGAGGCTGGGAGTTCGATTCCCCCCACTGGACCTCCTTTACGGGCTGGGCTGGATGATCTTGAGGGTCCCCTTCCAACTCTGCCGTTCTAAGGTGATTGTTATAAGAGGAAAGGTACTCACCACGCCCACAGAGGTCAGCGCCGTGGCCAAATTAATGATGGTCGGGATGAGGCTGAACTTCCCTGCCTGAAGGAGAGAGGGATAGAAGAACCAATTTCAGCACCAGATGCAACCATTTCTGGCGCCGTCTGGATTTTGAGACCTCCAGCTCGCATTAACTCCAGCCGGCGAGGTTAAAGCAGAAGGAGGGTGGCCACCGGGGCCCTCGACCTCTGGAGGGCTCCAGCTTTCAGATCTTGGCTTTGTTTCTCTGCCTCCGAAACAGAACTGCGGAACTCACTGCCCCCGGATGAAGCAGTAGCTGCCAATGTGAGCAACTTTGAAAAGGTTGACTTAATGCATGAATAGAGGATAGAGCCACTGGTGGCTGTGAGTCAGGGTGGTTATGTATCACTTCCTTTGTGCCTCTGTGAAGCAGTGGCTGGAGAATGAGATGGAAGGGCTGGCGGCAGGCTCCCCATAGACCACTGGCTCACCGTAGGAAGCTGGACTAGATAAACTTCGGTCTGGTCTATCAGTGGCCTTAACATTGCCCAGTCTTCCCAGTAAGAGCAAATGCTTAGTACTGGAGGCGGGCAGGTCTAATGGTGCTGGGTTGGTCAATCCACTCCTGGTTTTAGCAACACCTTTTCAGGACCTGTCCAAGGTCCTGAACCTCTTTGGAGGCCACGGTTTGGCTCCTGGAAAGTTCCACTTAAAACCCAGAGCAAATTCAGCATCTCTGCCCTGTCAGAGCCACCCACCTTTCAGGAGCAATGAAACACAAGGAGCCCCAGGATACTCACCTGCCCGTGCACAATGACATCAATCCGGATGCCGTACGCCTTGATCAACGTCCGGGTGCTTTTCCCGCGGCGGTGGTAGTACTTGGCGAACCTGAGTCGCAAAAGAAGAGGCGTGAGAGAGCTCGGCGGACATGGGCAGAAGCTGGCAGCAAAGCCTCGGCTGGGAACCCCCGGGCGAGAGGGATGTCATCACCAGATGATAAAGGGGTGATATAAGAAATATTAGTCTGTACTCCACCCGAACATGCATCCAATGGTTTGAATTTTGATACTCACTTCGCAACCTCCATAAATTCTGTGGATGCACAACAAAGACATACAACTCTTCCAACAATGGGCGCTCTCTGTATTTTCTCATTTGGACCTCCGTCCTCTTCATTTTCATGCACTTAAGTGTACCTCCATCAAAAACATATTTTTCTCTATATGTCCTAATCTTACAACATTTCTCTAAAATGAATATCTCTCCTTCACCGCGACAAGAGTTGCAAAAGAAAGCCAGCGTTTACAATCTAATGATGAACCACCTACTTTTCAGGTGCTTTTACAATCAGACATCTTTCACTACTTGAAGAAGCACTGCTTCTAGATACAGAATCAGTGCCATGTCTAGTTTGGCCTCAGTACTCCATCAATTTCTATAATGGAGGAAAGAGAGAGGCCATTCCCTCTTGCCTATGCTAGCAGAGGGCACTAGGAGAGGTTACCTATTTCTCTACCATCAAAGGAAGCAAGGTGGTTTAAGTGACCCCCCCCCCATGCCAAGAACAAGATGGTGCTCTGATTACCTGTAATTGTAGCCAGAGGAGACTTGCGCCCACTTGGGGTCAAGCCTGCGGAAGGAATAGCGGGGGTTACACTCAGAGTCTGGCAAGTCTAGGTTGCAGTTCCAGTTGATGATCACGCCGAGCACTCCACCCTTACAGGAAAAGAGAGAGGATGCCATCAACCAAGGGGGAACGTTTCCTCCCAAACACTACAGCATCATTACCATGGCAGAGCACGGAGCAGCATCCTCAGGGCTTTCCAGATACAGTAGGAAACCCCTCAATCTGCAGGAGATCCAGTCCAAGCGCCAACCTCCCCCCCCCTCCAAGCAGAAAAACACGGATGATAAGACAATCGCGAATGCATTATATAGCGTGGTCTCTGGCTCCCACTAATGTTCAGTTCTGGTAATGACACTATGGAAATAGAAATTTATGGGATTTTTCTTTTAATCTTTTCAGGCTGTGGATAAGTGAATCAGTGGATACTGATTCTGCAGATAAGGGGGTCCCACACCACAGTGCAGGGGGTGACTGTGATCACCGGTCTCCGTATCTCCCCTGCCCACAATTCGTGGCTCTTATGGAAGCCCTCCCAGAAGTGGGTGAGCAATATTTGGGGGGTCATTCTGGTGACTGAACATCAGGGGGTGGGTGTACCTGCATATATATGTAGAGATGCAAGCCTCTCTATTTGGGAATCTGCTGCAACCATTCTATTTTCCCCCAGGACACATCCATGGGAAGATGCTATGTTACCATTATCATTATTTAAAATACTTTTACCCTGCTTTTCTCCTTAAGCAATGCAATGTGGCTTACATCATTAAAAGACGATATTCAAGTGCTAAAGACAGTGAGTATACAATGATGAAAAAGATCGAACAATTGCCACACTAAATATATATGTATAACCATCTATTTCTTTGATCCAACTCCGGGAGGCAGTGGAAGATAGGAGGGCCTGGTGTGCGCCAGTCCATGGGGTCACGAAGAGTCACACACGACTGAATGACTAAGCAAGAACAAAACCATCTATTTAAACAAGCCCTCTCAGGCAGCCATTCAATGAGGGAAAGCTTGTCTGAAGAGAAAGGTCTTTGCTTGCTTGCAGAAGGACAGCCAAGATGGAGCCAGGTTAGCCTCTAGTGGCAGGGAGTTCCACAGTCTGGGAGCAGCCACAGAGAAGACCCTCTCCCCGTATCCCCACCAGACGTACTTGTGAAGGTGGTAGGGCTGAGAGAAAAAGGCCCCTCGTAACTCTGTGCTATTCTGGAGGAAGGGACATGAATTACAGCCTTGAAATGGCCCACATGGATGGACTGTGATGGCATTCACGCAGAATGGCTGGCATCCCATCTGATCTTTACCCACACAGAACCCCAGAAGAACCCCATGAAGAAAGGGCCACGCCAGTCTGCCCCGGTGCTGGCTGCATGCGATCAGAGCTTTGTGAATTCATTGCACCACCTTCACACGCGTGTGCACATAGCGAACCGGCTAGTGACTTACGTCACAAACTAATTTGACGAAACAGGGGCTGGAATCCTCTTTGGTTTTGTCGTTTCCAAGGGCGCAAGCTGAAAAGGGCTCCACCACCTTGGAAAATGTTTTTTTTAATGAGTTTGCAAACCCTCCTCTGTGAATGTGGCAGGAACAGGGGAACAGATCCGCACGACATGGGTTTTCATCCGAGGACATTTTCAGCAGGGAGGAAAATATCACAGCCAAGCCATTTACCTTCTTGGGCTCCATAATCACTGCAGATGGAGACAGCAGCCACGAAATTAAAAGACGCCTGCTTCTTGGGAGGAAAGCGATGACAAACCTTGACAGCATCTTAAAAAGCAGAGACATCACCTTGCCAACAAAAGTCCGAATAGTCAAAGCTATGGTTTTTCCTGTAGTGATGTATGGAAGTGAGAGCTGGACCATAAAGAAGGCTGA